GAAAACTCGATAATACCCGACTGCTATCATTTCTGATCATATCACTTTTACACCACGAGAAAGACTGGAATCCCAAGACAGGACATTTGCATATCACGAGTGGACCAGTTGAGAAAAGAAGAGGGTCAGACGTTTTCATCCCTTCTCTTCCTCTTTTTTTTTGCAGCAGATAAAGACGCTCGTTAATTCGTAATTGTATGCGTCAATAAAGTTAATTCGTACTTAATGGGGTCAACACAAGACAACAGCAGTCCGGCCTATGTGCGCTTTATCCAGGCCTACATCTCAAAAGTATCCGGAACTCCAGTGTGCATCACTGCAAGGCAAAATACAACTTTAAACAAACTAAGAACCATCGAGACAACTAAGAACTTCAAAGAATAAAAAGTCTAAGTGTAAGGAATGCCATTAAAACGATACAATGAGTTCCCCGCATATAAACAGCGTAAAAACATAGCTTCGAACATCAACGCAAAAACTGTCGCGTATGGAATATGTACTCGCCACCAATCATGTATTATCGACGCCAACTTGAATTCCTGAAAATAATTCTTAGCCAATTCAGCTGTTCGAAATATAAATAACATTATTTATACTTCAACATTATTTATACTTAAATAAATAACATTATTTATACTTCAATAAGCTAATGGATCATCGTCACGCTTTTCTTGCTATTGACGCAGCGAAAGCTTCTCCATTCCCTCTTACTTTGGGCCACATACACGCGCATACATACACACAAACATAAGCACACACATACACACACATACATACATATGGGTCATGTTAGGAACTGCTCAAATACAAAAGAATAAATAGCAGCGCGCACCAGGACAGCCGTTGCGATCATGCGTTGTGCGCAATTCCGTCCATCGAACGATTGCCTGCTAATGATTTTCACTGCTCTGAAGTTAAATTTGAAGAGCAGCATATGGGTAGGGAGCAATCCCCAAAATTTCAGCTTCCTAGATTCCACGTTTCCCGAGATAATAATTTTCTTGACCAAAACTTTTACGGGGCTATATATGTTACCCGCAGGCACGCGGGAGCAGAATTTGAATTTGCGGGGTCACAAGTGGGTGCGGAACATTGCCTTAAATCTTCAGCTCCCTAGCTTTTGTGGTTGCCGAGTTGAAAGTTGCAGACAAGTTTCTGCGAACACACAGAGACAACCCCGTGATAACAGGCATTTTGTACTGCTGCTACACAGCACAAAATGCATAAAAATCGGATGAATACGATGGGCGTGGAAACATATAAATAACGGCACGCACCAGGGTAACCGGTGCGATTATGCGTTTTGCGCAGTTCCATCCAACGGAAGTTTGTCTACTAAAAATATAACTGTTTTACTCTTTCATATGTGGGAAAATAGTAGATATGCTGTCTGGCTTCTAAGGTGAGGAATTTCCCGCTGAAAATTCTACGTGTCGGTACATGAAAGCTGAATTTGAAAAAACAGATGAGAAACATCCCTCCAATTTTCAACCTCCCAGTTTTTCGGCTTTCGAGCTAGTGACTTTCGCATCAAAACTCTCACGTGGTCGTACATAAGGCCTCTGCATACTTGAGAGTTAAATTTGAGTTTGTGAGGTACCTGCACAGGCAGAAAACATCCTCCTGAAGTTTCAGCCTCACAGCTCTTCTGGTTCTCAAGATAATAATTTCCCCCACCAAAAGTTTTACAAGGCCACACAAGAATAAATGAAAGGTGGATTTAATTCTACAAGGTTGTATTCCTCCAAAACTTCAGCTTCCTATCTTTTATGGCTTCCAAAATAGTAATTTTTTCGCCGAATCTTTCACGGCGGCGTAACTGACACCCAGGCATAACTGAAAAATGATTTTGAGTCTTTGGAATGCACGGGCGAATCTAGGTAGTGGGAAAGGGCAGGGCTGGGGGAGATTAAGCGAAAAGTCTCCCCCTCCCCCTCTACCACCTTCCAGCGGTACAGGCACCAGTGCTACAAAAGCCAAGGTCTGTTCATAAAACTAAAGTAACTCTAAATAGCAGTATTACAACTCTGTTCACAGTTTTTGCGCGGCTCCCCCTCCCCACCTCCCGTCGTCCCCCGCCAGAGTCCGCCCTTCCCCAACCCTGAAACCCCACTCGCCCCCACCCCTCGCCCTTCCCCCTCCACTCCCAAGGAGTCCGCCCTGCACCTGCTTATGGTGAGACTGCATGTGGGAAGGGAACATTCTTTTTAAATTTCAGCTTCCTAGCTTTCATGGTTCCCGAAATAATTTTCCCGTCAAAACTTTCACGGAGCCACACGTGATACCCAAAAGCATGGGAAGTCAGAAGTTGAATTTTCTGGGTCGCAATTGGCCAAGGGACATACCCAAAAATTTCAACTCACTAGATTCCGTGATTCCCAAGATAATGATTTTTTTACAGGACCGTACATGTTACCCGCAGGCATGGAGGTTGAATTTAAATTTTCTGGGTTGCAGTTGGTCAAGGAACATACCCATAAAATTTCAGCTCACTAGCTCCTGTGGTTCCTGAGATAATGGCTCTACCCGCAAAACTTTTGGGGGGCCGTACGTGTTACTCGCAGGTACTGAAATGCTGAGTTTAAATTCGCGAGAACACCGTGAGTGAGGAATATTACCCTAAATTTTCAGCCCCCTAGCTTTTGTGGTTTCCGAATTGAAAGTGCGGGACAAGATTTCGGAAACACACACAGACAACCCCATAATAATATGCGTTATATACTGCTGTTATACAGTACAAAACGGCTAATAATAGTGAACTACCTTCCGTCTGAACTAAAAAGTTTTATAGCACTGGAAAATGAATAAAGCTCTTAACAAGCTCACATTTCAAAGTAGAAAAATCCCGTTTACCTTTCACGACGTTTCCGTTCTTCATATGAGTTCTCGCGCCAACTAGTTTTTGTACCATTGCGATTTGAACGAGTATCGAACTTGTGTGTTGAAGACCGCTCAGAGCTGTCTATTCGACGACGTCTATAAAACTAGTTATTCAATTAAAAATCGAAGTTGGTGGGGCAAAATACCCAGCCGATTTTTTAGACTGAATATGAGCTGGAAAATCTAAATTTAAGAAAACCAGTATCGGAGTTAGTTTTTGGAATACCATAAGAAAACTCTACTCGGAGGATCTGGAACGGTGACGATGTTCGCGATACACTGCACGGCGTTTTGGTGATACTCTCACCGGTGAGCATCGTCGCTTCCTCCACAATGATGATGAGCTTGAGAAGCTGGAAGCGGTGACAGGGCGTGGGACCGCAACATCCATAAGCGGCGGAGCATTACTTCTCCTGCTACGACTTTCGTGTCTTCTAGATGAAAGCAACACTTGAGGCGGGTGATCTTCATGCAGCAGCTCTTTTAACGTCTTCTTTACGGGCAGGTTCCTAAAATATAAAGATTATGAAAACAGGCACTCCATTCCACTCAATAAGTCAGACACAAGAACATTGTAAAGGGAGATTTGAAGTCTTTAGGCCTGACGAATGAATTCTGTAGCCAAGAGTTAAGGATGTTTTTTACTGCGAACGCAAAAAGGCGAATGGGCACATTTACCGGAAACTATTCGACTTATCGGGGCAAAAATGGTCGTTCTGACCATCTGATTTTCATTCAAAAGAATACCGCTGCTGGAGCGGGGGATGAGAGCGAGGGGATCTTTATTGGGCTGCTATCATTATTCCCACCTCAGAATAACAAATCACGAAACTGAACGGTTTGCTACACACATACTTATCAACAGATGAGATGTTAAAACTTGAACATGCATGACTTAAACCATTTTCGGTTGATAATCACAGCACTGTTTCAAAATCGATGTTCATAGTATTATAAAACTGCCTGGAACGATCGGAACAGCTGTTATTTCACAGTTTCGTTCTCCAACTGCGCACCTGGCAACTTTTCATTTTCTCTGACCACTGCTGTCTGATGGCCAGTCGGCCGGTAACCTGGCCACTTATTTTTCATCTTTTGATGCACTTACCAATTCACTGGTTTTCCAAATAAAAGCACCTGGCAATGCTTCATTCGTTTCAAGCCAACCCTAGCGTATTTTGAACGTCCCCATCCGGTCGCTATTCGCAGCGACGGCTAGGAATCAAAGGGAAACATTCACAAATTAAAAAAAAAAAATCCCAGAGCTGTAATAAATCAGACATAAAATGGAAGGGAAATTACCTCAGGCAGGAGCACTAGAAATGAACCAAAATGAGATACCGTTTAGCGTGCTGAAATTCTCTATAGGATATTTCAGAATCAAGCAATGACGGTACGCCGTTTCTGCTTGTTTTTCGTGGCTGTTGCGCAGCCTTCCTTCGCAGCGCCTTCAGATCAACGGAATCGTCGAAAGGGAACAAGCAGCACAACCGCTGACCGGCGGCGCGTTGTATCTCGCAACCATCCGAAGCAGCATATACCGCTCGATCTACAAAAAATACAGCCTTCGGGAATAGAGACTAAACTATTTTGGATTTTAGAAGATTGTATTCATGCCCAACGACTTCACACTTCCTCCTCGGGGCACTCCCTCCTCTCTCTCTCTCTCTTCGGAAAGCTTGTCAGTGAAAAACCTCTTACTTATTTTCTTTTCAGAAAAGCAC